ACCAAGACGGGCCTATCTAAACAACTGCTTTGCAACGCGTGAACTATTTCCCGTCTACTTTCAAAAAACATGCAGTCACAGCGCGGAGAGTGGGACTACAAGACCACGTGAAAGAAGTACCACTTTTGGTTCATGAGGTAAAGCATACCGACTCCTTGACGCGGTACACAAACCTAGTCCTAAGCCCCAACCAAGATGAACACCTAAAGGTCTCGCATTTCAAATCAAAATCTCCAGTCATCCTCGGAACGAACGGTACATAATGTCCTACACCTCAATCACAATCATCGTCTCGCCTATCACGTCGGCATCCTCAACCACCGCGTCGGCACCGGGCCCCACCGCATCCTCTCTCACGGCCTGGCCGACAAACTCGAATCCCTGACCCCCATTCACTTCGTCAACATTGGCCCTTTGGATGATTTCGAGGGCGAAATTGGTCGCACATTTGAACTCCTCCGTCGCACCTCAGCCACTGTCTCGCACGCCGTCGCCGCAAACTCCTTCCCGCTCGTACTCTCGGGGAACTGCTACGCCAGCACCGCCGTGGCAGCCGGTCTAAGCGCTTCCGTCCCGGACTTGAATGTCCTGTAGATAGACACGCACGATGACCTGGACACACCTTCCATGAACGAGAATGGGTACGTTGATGCGATGGCGCTGTCTATGGCGGCTGGGATGAGCTGCCATAACTTAGTGGGATCCGTGCCGGGGCATGAACCGTTGAGTCTTGATAAGGTGACGTATTGCGGGTCGAGAGATGCGTATGAACTGCAGAGGAAGACAGTGACGGAGGCTGGGATGGATGTCATTGGGGTGAGGCGAACAGCAAAGTCGACTTCGCCAAGGAGCTGGGGGTTCTATTGGATCGGAGGAGGTTTGAGAAGACGCACGTTCATCTTGACCTCGATATTCTGGATGAATCTCTGGAGAGAGTGAATGAGTTTCCTTCTCCTGGCGGGTTGGATGAGCAAGATTTGATGAGGTGCTTGGAGACGATTCCGAGGAAGACGAGCCTGACGTCTATGTTTGTATGTTCTTTTAATGCCGAGTTGGAGGGAGGCGATGCGGTGGCTAGACTCGCGGTCAAGGGCATTGTGCGCTTTGTTGATGGGCTTGTTCAGACTGATGCCCTGCAAGTAGCTCCATGAGAGGTCTTTGTCCTCAGTTGGTCAACTGGGTATTACTGAGAGTATCAAGGCTATTCCTTTAGCTTATCAGGGTCAAGGAACTTCAAGACCTCAGAGATTCGAATGAGTACCTTGTGGCAAAGATGTTGATAGTAGTACTGATATTGAATCTACTAAGCATTGGGGGTGGAACGTAAAGTACTAGTCAGGTAGTCCACGTCAATTTGTCAAATATCAATGATAGCGACTCGAAGCGTTTCCATCGAAGCAGAAAACGATCTGAATAGCGCCAAAGATGCCATCAGCCTGGACAGTTGGTAATGTGCATCGTGCTCCTTCACTGCGTCCTGAGCGATATTAGGTTCAGTCAACGTCAACGCGAAAAGCATATAAGTTCGCTACTCATCGTCCCGAGTTTTGAAATTTCTGGAAGCCGCGTCTGGTGAGACTTCCAAACTGCAGAATGCACCCACAGACGGGGAAAAATTCTTCTGACAGATTACAGCTACAATCATGTTTGAACTTGGTCCAGAGCAGAAAGCAGTTCGTGGACTTTAGAATTATGGCCATGCTACACCAAGAATCTGATATCGATGAGGTTTCCACTCACATCCTTAACCCCTCTACAAGCTGTTGAGAGTTCCTGTGACGTTGCGGAGAGCCAGAGTTGAAAATGATAGAAGCCCAGACTCAAATACAAAACTACGAAATCGTGATATGATTACTTTATTCTGAAAGGTTCTCAGGTCTCTCCGGGGCTTGGACCATGATAGACTTCCAAGGTCGCCGACCACCTCCAAAACACCCCGGTAAGTAACCTTGAATCCTAATCTCTCAGCACAAAGGGCTCACCCACAAGCTGTCAGAGTTTTGTTTTTTTACTCTAATATCCCACTGACCAACAGAGTCTCTTGTCACTGCATCGGACCTCATGTATGGATCGCCGTGCGTATCCGAGAGCATGCAGGTAGCTTCGCTTGCTGACCTCGTGGGGGTCTGACAGGCTGCAGCTACTAGCGCCGCGAACCGCCCATCAAAAATAGACTGGTCCGTTGTGGGATACCTCAGTGAGAACTCTCACAGTCTCAATGCCCACCGAGGGAGGCGTGAATGCTTCCTATCGCATCAGACTGCCGGTAGGCCATGCCTCGCGACACTGTCATAACGCGGCGCGAGGACAGTCTCGACGAGCCGATATATGCGCAATACAGATTCTCACAAACAGTACCCTCGGGACAAGGCATCGCGTCGCACATCAGACTCCTGAGTATAAGGGAAGACATTCTTGCGACAGTACACGGCGAACGCGATATACTCATTTGGAATGTCAAGCTCAACCTGCCTCCTCAGCGCATCGAAATTGGAATCGACCTCGACCACATTACGGGCATTGCCATCTCCCCGGCGAGCGGCAATGTTCTCGCGCTGACCTTTCGATTGGGGTCCAAATGCGAGGTATGGAGGTTCAACTGGGCAGACAAAGCCCCCGAGGCAATGTTCACGACGGGATTGGAGTTCCACTCACCGCAGTTTTCGCCCGATGGTCGTTTACTTGCATGGATATCGGCCGGCTGCGTGGACGTTTGGGAAACAATCATCAACACGCACGTCCAGACAATCAGCGAAAGCAAGAAAGTAACCAGCGGACGGCCGGTTTTTAGGTTCGCATTTTCGACGGATTCAAGTCAGATCGCAACAGTAGATCGGTCGGGGAGGCTGGTAAGCTGGGACGTCGCAACATGGTCGTACATTGGCGAATCAAAAGCTCAGCCGGCGATGGACGACAGCGGGTGGGAACCAGTGCAGCTCGTCACGGATACGAGGCGTGTTATGATGGTCTCTCGAGGTGTAGACGGCGAAGTTTCGCAAAGGTGGAGGCTGACAACATGGTGGCCGAGTACCGGTAACAGGACGGAACTCGAGATGGACGGATGTGTGTATGGATGTGTTCCTGGCAATTGCGCATTCGTGGCGACGGTGCAATCAGACGGGGGAAAGCTGCGAATTCGTGACGCGAACAACGGCATGTGCTTCGACCAGTCGACCCAAGGCATAGCGAAACGCGGCAAGACACCCTCGGTGGTGATGGGCGGTATGGTGATGAGTGGAAAGACTATGGTGACACAGATTGCTAACGGAAGGACGACGATATGGCAGTTGGTGGCCACGGAATAGGGCTCAACGCATGACTACGCGGGCACGACTCAGAATCAGGTAGGGCACGATGTCTTGGCTGTGGATGAAGGGTCTGCACTAAGATATGCACCAAGCCGAGCAGAACCCGATAACAGCGATCGTAGACTGACGAACCCGACGATTCTGGGCAACGAAGCGAAATCCGAGCTTAAACTAGGCGGGGGTCGTCTTGATATAGCTTAGTCGCCGGGAAAAGATGTGGATTGGGGCTTGCGGCTTCATCTTGGTCAAAATTGAACACCAATTCCCATCAGGCAATGTTTACAAACTATCCTGCTTAAATGGCGCCCGCTTGCTCTTGTCAGGTCTTCCCGTCAACTTTCCACAGTCGGAAGCTACTGTCCCTGATCGTATGTACTTGCAAGTCCTTGCCACCCATCACCCTATGCCTTCGAGCCAGAGCCCCTCATGTCTACATGTAGAGAACGGAAATCTACGCCAAGTCATCACCGTGCTTTGCTTGGCTGTGCTCGCGCGTCTGGAGTATCAAGACGCAAGGAATCACCAGAAGAGTGATAAGACCTTGAGTAACAAAACTCCATGTGAAACCTAATCCACCTCACTTGTTAGTCTATGATGCTCTAAGAGACTGGCGGTTACCATACCGACAGCTTCAACCCAAGTATTGATGAACCAAGGGACGAGGAACGCAGAGATCTATAGGCCACATAATACCGAGTAAGCTCATGTCCTTTCTGCACTAGTAATCTCTTGAACTGCATGATGTAGGGAAGATTGCCTCACGTTGTAGAGAACCCCATAGAAGGATATTACTTCCAGAACTCGATCCGGAAACGCAGCGATCGAGTATGTTATCACTGTTACGTTTCCCATCTGCAATCCTGCAGCGACTGCGTCTTACGTTAATTAAGGGTTCCCAGATGAGGAGTTGTTTTCTCACAGATGAAAAGAGCGAGCTCTCCTATCATGTAATGCCAACGGCGATCAATCGAAATACCCCACAAGATGCATCCTCCTGCCCCGAGTAGTGCCGCGGGGTATGCAAGCCATAGATACATGGTGGGTGCGATTATATCATTCTTGCTTCTGGCAAGTCGGGATGCGAGCTTGTCGAGCATCCGACCAGAGCACACAATCTCGATAGTAATAGTGCCTAGGATGAGGCCAAGCCAAAGCAAGCCTTGAGTTTGGGTGCTGAATTGGGCATATGCCACTGGCCCCATTGTAAGGAAAGAGACGACCCTGGACAGACCTCGTTAGACAAAGAACCCTCGCAAAGTTAACACCTATTTTGGGCATTGGACTCTTACCACCAATACTGGAAGAATATGTACGGAATGATTGCACACACGAATCGAGGCTGTGCCACAAGTTTCATGAAGCCGATGGCCGTCACAAACATGCGCCTCTTTGATCCCACTTGAAGCTGCCGTACTTCCTGAGGACTCGTGAGAATAATGAAATAGCAGGGGTGCAAGAAAACTTACCCAGAGCTTCAAATTCTTTGTTCTTCTGACATTATCCAATCCTTGATCCAGTATGACACTATCTGATATCGACTTTCGTGGGTAGAAGGTTTCCGGCAAAAGCGATATCTCGAGTAGGAGTAGGACTCCGTAGGCAATCGCAACGTGATACTGCACCCACAAAATCCCAGCATCAACAACGAACCCTCCGACTATGCTCAATGTCAGGCCTCTTTCTCTTTGGATATCAATCAAACTCACCGAGGGCACCAATCATTCCCCCTACGTCGATGGCCAAGACCCAAAGGCCTGTCTTGAAGCCTCTCTCGTGTTCATATGTGATATCTTGCACAACGGCGAATCCTACACTCAGTGCAGGGCCGGCACCAATTCCTTGGAGGAGACGAAGAATCAGATAAGCGCCATAGGGCAAATTGGCCGCCGTTGAGCAACCAGTGGCTACCAGGGCGACGAGAGCGGTACCAATAAGAACGGGGCGACGACCCCAGATATCGGAGAACCCCGCAAATAGCACAATACCAACGGCTAGGCCAAGCGCTGGGACAGCCAAAGACCAATTGACCTCCGAGTAACTGATGCCGAAGTGCTCTTGCAGCAGCGGAAGTGATGCAACCGGTGCGGTTGTAACATAGATGGACAGGAAGCCGGCGTAAGAAACAATGAACAGCACAAGTGCTTTCTGCAATTTTGACCAGTTCAAAGGATCCAAAGGGTCCGAGTTCGAGTTCGGTTGCGGGACCAGAGGCAGACCGCGTGGGTCAAGGATGACTGCTTGTCCGGACGCTGTATTTGCTGGTGGAAGCGGATGGCCATTGAGAGTCTCCACTCTGGGGGCTTCAGTGTTAATCTGACCGTTATCCTTCATAGTCTTGCTGGGGCTGTCGCGTCTTTTCTTGGAGTCTTTGAGGTTCGACATCGTAAATTATGCTCAGATGGTAGGAGTTTGATGCAACTCAGAAGATTGGGCTATGGATGATATTTGGTTCTCTTGAGGAGACTTGGGAAATCCAAGCCATCCTACCCTTCTTCTCCAATCCTCTAGTCTCTACTCACCCCTCGCACTCTGCCACCCATAAGATCTGATGCGTACCGCCGATAAGCAGCCAACTCACTTTGAGTTACACGTAACCAGTGCCGGCAGATGATATCCGCAATTGTCTCTTCGAGATAAAGAAATATGTTATCTGTCAAGCGCGCTCAAACGGAGGTGTCGTGTCTCACTCCACATGTTTCTTGTTGAGCAATGCCGGATGAGTGCCGCCGGCGGCCTAAGACGATCCGCTTCAGCGGGAAACTGACTCTTTCGAGAATTTGTTCGACACGGAAGGCCTCGCGGATGTGCCATGGCAGGATCAGCTTACCATTGTAGTGGCGGGTGCGCATGTTGCCACAAGGGCGTTCGGGTTAATAGTTGGGACACTGATGCTTTCCCAAATAGGCAAATTTTCCACCTCTCCCCGGTCCACGACAATGGGCTCCATAAACACAACGTCAGATGTCGATGGGAGTAGCACTGGAACAACTTGCGGATGTTAAGCCTTGGTCTGCGACCCCAGTTTCTTTCGTGTTCCCCAAAATGCAGTCTTTGAGATTTTGGCCACCTTAGACTCTTCTCCAGATCACTAGAGTGCAACTTTTCTTTTCTACAGCGAGCTCAAAACTTTGAGAAACAAACATAACTAAGGTTAGTTTATCTTCAGAATACAATTGTCTCATTCCGGTCTAACACGTAGTTTTACAGACTCAGTCGCCATGCAGCGCAATCCACATACACCCAACTTTACCGAGAGAACATCACTCCTACGCCCAAGATCAGCCACACCTACATCGAACCCGCCCGGCAAGCATGGATTATATCTGCTACGAGAAAGCAAAGCTGGGCTTCAAGAGGTCATTGTTTTGATTCAACTGTCGTTGCCCGTCATCGCTGCTTATCTCTTGCAAAACTCATTCCAAACCGTATCAATGATGCTTGTTGGGCGATTCTACCCCGAAAGTCTATCAGTTGCCGCCTTTTCCTACATGTTCAGCACATGCACCGGCTGGCTCATTGGAATGGGCGGCTCGACAGCTCTCGACACCCTCGCTTCGACTGCTTTCACTGGCTGCGACAAGCACTACACTGGCATTTTGCTACAGAGAGCCGCGATTGTTCTTACGTTATTTTACATCCCGATTGCAGTCATCTGGGTGTATGCCGAGCCCCTCTTTATCGCTCTTGGACAAGACAAATCATTGTCGCATGAGTCGGCTAGGTTCTTGACGCATCTCATCCCTGGTGGTCTTGGATACATCTACTTTGAGATTCTCAAAAAGTATTTGCAAGCTCAGGGGATCGTGCAGCCAGCGACATACATTCTTCTCATCACTTCTCCTATCAGCGCAGGCCTTAACTACTTGCTTATTCAGTCCTCAGACTTTGGTGTCATGGGAGCTCCCCTGGCAACGGGTATCGGCTACTGGCTTTCCTTCCTCGCACTTCTCGCTTACGCACGCTTTGCGAGGGGATACGAGTGCTGGGGCGGTTGGGACAGGCGTTGTCTTGAGAACCTGTCAGCCTTTACTCGTCTTGCTTTCCTCGGATTCGTCCATTTGGGCACGGAGTTCTGGGCATTCGAGATTGTTGCCCTTGTTGCTGGACGCCTGGGCCCGCTGCCGTTGGCGTCTCAAAGCGTTCTCATGACCGCAGACCAGGTTCTTGTTACTATACCGTTTGGCATCGGCGTGGCAATCAGTATCAGAGTCGGCGGGCTGCTTGGTCTTAGAGATAGAACCGCTGCCATCAGGTCCGTCAGAGCAGCCATATTCTTGACTTCAGGGGTAGCTACTTCCGTCATGATTTTGTTGATTGCCAGCAGGTCCAGGTTCGCTGCCATCTTCACACCTGACGAGACGGTAATATCATACACAGCGCGGGTGTTGCCGTGGGTAGCATTTTTTCAAATATTTGATGGACTCAACGGGAGCTGCGGAGGGTCGCTTCGTGGAATAGGAAAACAGAACCTAGGCGCCACCATCAACGCTCTGTCCTACTACATTGTTGCGCTGCCGCTTGGCACTTGGATGGCCTTCTCAGGTTGGGAACTTTCGGGGCTCTGGATAGGGCAGACGGTCGGCATGATCTTAGTTGCGGGGCTTGAACTTGTTGTGATTCTTTCTGTCAACTGGGATAATGAAATTGACAAAGCATTTCAGAGAATAGTTGCCTAGAATACCAACAGTTCATCAGTAGACAATGGCACAATTGCTTTTCAGGAACTTTTGCATGATACGCACAAAGCCTTCAGGTCTTGATGTCTTTTTGTATGCAATCTTTTATCTCTGCCGGCCCCATTGAAGTACATCTATGTGGCTAAGTCGAAAATTCGAGCCAAATGAGTCAATCCATATTGTATTGAGTCGCAGTTTTCGAAGCAAAAATCGGTGTTCTGTCTGCTATCAGTTCTTCCTGCAGCCGCCAGCGAATACGGAAGTTGGAACCATCAGGCACTATGCGACGGTTGCCATGAGCCGGAATGTTTTGACCGCGTCAGGCAGAGACACAGACTCTGAACCCGTCCGATTTGAGAACAGCACTCTTGGATTTCCCTGATATCTGTCCCAGTCAACTTACAGATCGGCAACTCATGGACACGGGGGATCATGGGGTGGGGCAAGCGGATAAGTTTCCGAAGACGGCTAGCTTCCAAATCCTGTGATAAAACGAGACCGACAGCCATAAGAGGCAATACTCAAGAAATCAGAAGGTTGACCACTGGGGAGTTGATGAGTTTTCTGACTTCACTGATGTGCTTTTGTCTACTCAAAAACCATGCTCCGATTCTTTTTTTATTGTTCACTTTTGGCTGGGTCACTCGCTCATGCAGTTCAACGGCCACTGCAGAGCAATGACGGCGCTGTAACGCCCCAGAACTACGAATATGCACGGGTTCCCACCATTCAAGGGGCCCAGGAATACCGCTGACTTACTGTAGGACCATTCTGCGTTCGCAGGTATCACGACTTACGGGCTGCTGCGTCATCTTCCTTGCCTTCAAGACGAGTCTGTTGCTTTTGACATTGCCACTATTGGTTCGTATTCCAATGCAGAAGAGACTGCTTTCTATCATCGTATGTCTGGTTGACTTAACGTTCCAGGTATCCCTTTCGACAGTGGTGTGACCTACCGCCCAGGAGCTCGGTTCGGCCCTTCGGCTATCAGACAAGCTTCTCGCCATCTAACTCTAGCGTAAGTGTCTGGCAGCCATAGAGCCGTTTGGATACCTAGACTGACAGACTGGAAGGGGGGGCTACAATGTGTAGGTTTCGCCGATATATACGCATCCATCTCTCTGACCCCCAAGTATGCAGACCTCAACGCGTGAATCCTCTCAAGTTTTGGGGGCAAGCACTTGACTGTGGCGACATTCAAGCTTCACCGTGAGTAGTACCAACGCGACAGGAGAGATCATGTGTTGGTTTTGACATCGAAATAGCCATGACAAGGAGGTCGCAATGAAAGATATCGAAAAGGGATACACGAGCCTGCTCCAACGCCCAGCCTACACGAAATCACGGACTGCCGAATCGAACGATTTGACAACAATTCCTCGACTTCTCACGCTGGGTGGTGACCATACAATTCTGCTGCCGATTCTTCGAAGCATCCACAAAGTATACGGGCCGGTCAGCATCATTCACTTCGATTCCCATCTCGATTCGTGGAATCCAACGCAAGGAGCGCCATCCGATGCAGCACAAATCACACACGGGAGCTTCTTTTACTGGGCAAACCAGGAGGGCTTGATTTCCAACTCGAGCAATATGCATGCTGGCCTTCGCACGACTCTGTCAGGGCTTGGAGACTATGACGAAGACGAGCTATGTGGCTTCGCGCGCATTGAGGCTCGTGATATTGACGACATTGGCACACGCGGCATCGTCAAGAAGATCATCGAGCGTGTGGGCACCGACAGGCCGGTCTACTTGTCTATTGACATTGACACACTCGACCCTGCCTTTGCTCCAGCAACCGGAACTCCCGAGACTGGAGGTTGGTCGACACGTGAACTACGTGCAATCATTCGAGGTCTCTCTGACGTCAACATAATTGCTGCGGATGTCGTTGAGGTATCTCCAGTATATGACACGAACGCTGAGGTCACATCACTGGCTGCGGCAGACTTGATATATGAGATCATGAGTATTTTTGTGAAGAGAGGTCCGATGACAATGGCCGATGAGTAAAGCTCTGTTATGAGGCTATTTCGAGTTGAAACCATACTGTCTCATTCAGCCTCGGGTTGTCCGGTCTAGACTATTCGATACTGGGCGATGGCGAGTTGTACAATACTTGCACGATTTTGAGATACGATCGAAGGCTGCTTTCCTTAGATAATAATTTCCAACACCTCTGACTCAAACCTTGTTGAGTTCATTGTTGATTGTGTGAGGATTCGTCTGACGGACTCATCGCTGGATATGTGTCTAGTAGGTCAGCCAGCTAGAACTACCCAATGACAGGTTTCAAAGGCGGGGTGTTGCAGAGCTTTTTTCAATTCCCTACTTCCATCTATTCATCCTAGAACAATGAGTTGATGCAGAAGTCCGGATCCACTGTAGCATTTTCGTTAGTAATTACCTCCCTCGAGATTGTTTCGATTTACTCACATTTGTAAAACCAGTCGGGCCACCTGAGCCCAGGGTCTAGATCTCGTACTTGCCATACATGCTCCAACGACAAGCATACGTCTTTGCGATTGTACGTGAGCCCCCTCGGTGTCCGCAACCTTTCCAAAATTGTCCTCCGTGCCTGATCCTCGACGGCTTCGCAGCCAGCGATGAAGAGTGGGAATAGAACGGCGTGAGAAACGCGAGATGCGACCGGAATATTCCCAACCTCGGCCACGATAACCTTCACCTTCTTACGTACCAGCGGCGCTGTAAACGGCATGCCTTTGAGGCGTGCGTAAAACAAGAGAAATGTCGCTGCGTGCATGGCTTCATTCAGAGAACGGAGCTCTTTCGGTTCTGCAGCGTGTGTTTGACAGCGATCCAAGTCGACTTCCCGGGCCATCAGCAGTTCTTCTTCAAGCTTTATCATTTCGTTTCCCATGGCTTGATCCGACAAACTATACTGATCGACGGTCCACTGAGACTTTTGGATATCAAGAAGCTTGGCCAGACGAAGAAGAGGGTTAACGAGACGAGGAGAAAATGCGTATATCGGGTGGTTTAACCAATCGCGAAAGGAGGGCGAATAATTGAGATCAACTTCTTCTGCTCGCATCTCCAAATAGCGATAGATCTTCTCGCTCACCAGTGTCTGAGAATTCTGGAACGAGCATACCGTTGATATGACAGTCCATCGCAGCATGGAGAGTACCAGCTGAACAATTGGTGTGAGAAGATTCGAAGAGGACTGGGGACGTTTGTAAAAGCCGGCGGCAAGTGCGCCTGCAGAACGCAAATACTCTGAGGTTTCAGTATCAACCTGGCCAAAGTGGTGCAGAAATATCCCACAGGCAATCTTTGAGAATACACGTAAAGTCCAGCTTTGGCTCCAAGGTTGGTCAGAGTACGGTTGAGTTTTAAGGGCTACGGAAGCCTTTCTCGAACAATCCCTCACAAGGTGCCGGAAGTCGCCGCCATTTTGGCTGGCGTTGTACTGAAACGCAGCGAAACAGAAAATTGAGCTCCGTAAGCTTTCGTCACAAATCGCCATTTGTGGGATAGTGGCTATGAATGGGTCTTGGGATCCATGGAACCTGGAGAGTTCTTTCTCGTCGAGACACAGAAATCCGTCCTTCGTTATTTGCAAGAAATATTGCCAGAGAAAACGTTTCTCGGGTGATGCGAGCATATCCGGCGGCCAAGGCATCGGACAGTGAGTCATTAGTGTAGAGGCGTGCAAGGATCCTCGGCGATTCCCAGTCATTGGACCACAAGACACCAAGTTTGAATTCATTGCAGAATCATCCAAGACGGAATCTATTGCAAGATCATCCAAGACGGAGTTCATCGCATCGTTCAAGTTTGGGGAGTCCAGGAGCTGCGTATCGAATTCTGGGTCGTCGAAGACAGTAAGTAGTACGTCGTTTGAAGCCGACTCTCCGTACAATTCTGTACTCGTAATTGCTTCTTCGTCTGCGAAAATGGTCTCAAAGTGATGGTTGCTATTACTGATGTCTTGACTGCCAGGAAGGTTGGGCCCCGGAACCTCATTATCAGCGGTGTTGGGGGTTGCAAGCCAGAGGTCAGCGGCTGGATTTCCGGTTAGAGGATCATCGTTACCAGTCTCTGGAAGGGCCTCAGCTGAACGGCGGGCCGTAGACTCAGAATCTGAGACTTGCATCTCCGTTATGTGGCTGCTGGAAGCATGTGTCTGCATGCTTGGCCCCTGATTCTTGGGCTCTTCGGGTGTCCATATCTTGAAGACTTCGAGGTCGCAGGCCAGGTGAGTCTTCAAGCACAGTGAGCATTTCGGGCGTTTTTTATCACACTGCAAACTTCGTTAAAATAGGCTTTCTCTTTGGTGTATGAATCTGGCGATATTGTCGTCAACCAATAGTGATCGAGGTAAGACATACCCTTCGCTTCTTCCGAACGCATTGCGCGCACGCACCCCTGGTCCGTTTGCTGTGCCTTGTCGGCATGCTTGCAAAGCTGAATGAGACAGAAGATTATATCGGTGGAGTCTCGATGCGGCTTCAAACGTGAGTGGTTTGACAGCGAAAGCATTGCTGCTCGTTTGGTTTGTGATAGGGCAACAATTGGAGGAAAAGAAGTTAACACCTGCCAGGATGGCTCCGGACGGAGGCCGAACCGAGGTGCTTAGGTAACACGCCGGTCCGAAAGCCGTCCCGATCAAGGTTCGAAAGACTCAGTACTCGAATGTCCTAGTAATCTTGCGCTCTGACCGACATTCACATCTCAGATGAACTCTGGAAGACCTATTCAGGTATTTCGGGATCAACTGTGTAACATAGTGCCCTAGCACAAAACGATTTGCGCATCTTCCACTACAAGGCAATGCTCTTCCCGTCAAGGCACACATAATACAGAAAACAAGTGCATTGAAATATTTATCCTGAAGCGGCGCACAGAGATCAAAATGCACCCTTGGTTTCTTCGGAACCTTCAATCTCGCCGTATTGTGGCAACTCTTTCAATGCCTCCTTTAGAATCTTGAAACCTTGGAAGAGATCTTCATCAGGAATGGTTAAGGCGACTCCCAAACGAATGCGACCATTGGGGCCAGGAAAGACGAGTAGGCCTTTGCTAGCGCACAGCAATGAAAACCGGCGGGGAGTAATGTTCTCCGATCTACTTTCGTACTCTGTGTCCAGCAAAATATTCAAGTCTGCGCCGAAAGCGGGACAATATCGCAGCCAGGGGAAGTTCCACGTCGATGTTTCCGCGCTCCATTTGGCATGGATGTCTTGGGCTCGCTGCTGTAGGTTCTCCTCCTCGTAGATATCCAATGCGGTGGTCACACCTGTGACGGCCATTGAAGACATTGAGAATGTGCTGACTGAGTGGTATGGCTTCATTTTATTCATGACTTCATCGGGGCCAAGCACAAATGAGGTTGGCCAGACACCTCCGGAGATGGACTTGCCCATGGTCACCATGTCTGGTTTGTGCTCGGGTCCCATCCAGTCAGAGCTCAAGAACCTGCCAGTTTTGCAAGAACCCATTCGAACTTCGTCTGCGATGAAGAGGATGTTGTACTGCTTGCATAGCTTCCAGACGCCAATGCAAAAGTTGATCTCTTCCGCCATGGTCCTTGGAAGGGTTAGTAAATTGTTCGAGTGTGTCGCAATGTTCGACGCGGCACTTGGAAGATGACTAGCCTTGCAAGTCCATGAAGTGGCTCCATGATGACGGCAGCGATACGCTCATGCATCTGCTCAAACACCTCTGCATCATCTTCGACATGAAGGTAGCGAAGAACCTTGCCTGTTTGAGGGTTGATGTTGGTCATATTCTTGCTGAAAGTTGCGAATTCTGATCTTCATGTTATTACTTTGACATTTTCAATGGAGATATGATGTGGCGGCCTACCTTCCCAGCCAGCCTCTGGTTCCATGAGAGGCCATACTCCAGAAAGTGTACCGTGGTAGTTATCTGACGTTCCAAGTACAAGAACCTCCTTGGGGTCGATTTTCTTGATGTCGACTCCCCATCCACGCGCCAACTTGCAAGCCGTATCTGTAGCTTCGGAGCCCGACGTCATGGCCAGTATCTTGTCATACCCAAACTTATCACACAAGCGTTTGGCCAGACGAGGCCATCCCTCTGCTTGGCCAGCAATGTTGGCGAGTGTTACTGGGTGAAAGTTAGCACAGCATGACCAGCAGCACAGGTGAAGGTCAGTCGCTGACTTTTCTTAGCTGAGTTGACTTGCGCTTCAAGAAGCCTCGGGTGACATTGGCCAAGGTTGCTGGCGCTAAATCCACAGATGAAATCAATCAACTCGCGCCCATCGGAATCCTTGAGCTTTAGTCAGTCTCAAGGACAAAGACATCCAGTACGGGGTTCATCTTACGCGAACCCGGGAACCTTGCCCAGAGACTAGGTACACTGGCAAAGAGTTGATCCCTCCGACGCTGTAGCCCTTGTTTATCTCGTTCAGTGCACGGCCAGATGCCGGCAGGGGGAGGGAAATTTTGGTTGTAGTGATACTCTCTGACATGGCTGCATATACCTCTCGGCTTGGTTCGCTGGAGCAAGACAACTGAAAGATAGCAAACAGAATTTGTGTTTAATATGGTTCCCAGCTATCTGCGTGCAACAAGATTCATTTGATGCAAACCTTCTCCATCTTCATGAAGGGGGCCTCAGAAGCACACATCGAAATATCCCAGTTGGGAAGTTTTACCACCAAAATCGCAAAAGCCACGTCCCGTTGCCAGTCCTTCGCTACAGAGTAAGTAGTGACTTGCGAAGACGCAAATGTAGAAGGCTATGCTGCCCCGGCCGATGGCCAGAATTCTGTCGACCGGGCATGGTATGCGATAGACTTCCGCGGTGGAGGCGGGCAGGCGTATCTGCGTACCGATTAGGGATTAGGAGCCACTAGTATGATTGCCATTTTTCAGCTTGCGAGATAGAAACATCAGAAAGCATGATATTTGTCATTATCGTCATGCACGCGGAAAATCTACTCCTTCCGACCCATGAACGATGGTCACGCGGTCATAGCAAGAGGATGCATCGAGCTTCGGTGGAAAAGTTGCCCAAAACGGACTGGTCTTGCTCCGGGCTTCTCCGCAAATCTTCATCAGCACTACAAGTTGCGATTCATGTCAATTACCCTATCGAAGTATTTTTCTTGTGCATGCCTGTCCTCATGGGATCGAGATTAGATATTAGACAGATAAGATATTAGGCAGAGTGTTGTTTAGGTTGTGGATGTGGCAATCTCATGATGTTTCCCCTCCATCTGACATCCCGCGGCCTGCGCCATGAAAGTTATCCAACTTTCGTGAATAAACTAGCATGGCGATAGTTATTTAGATGTGGCAAGCTGCCTAGCGAAAGAGGTTACGAACCAGAAAAGCCAACAACCATCATCACATAGAATATCCATTGCGAGCTAAGCTCTACCTCTTCCTCGTTCTCCTCTGACCACAAATTACTCCAATCATGCCCTGGGAACTGCTCACCCCGCAGCTTATCTCGGTCAGCCGGAACCAGATCGCACTCCTTGCGTGCATCTTCATCGCCGCTCTATGGATACGGACTCTCCATCTCCAGGCGACAACTAAAATCCCTGGCCCTTGGCACTTGAAGTTCTCAAGCATATTTGTCAGATATCGTGAACTCTTCGGTCAGAAAAGAGTGTGGGTTCACAACCTACATCTTCGATATGGTCCCGTCGTTCAAGTCGCGTACAACGAAGTCTCGTTCGCAAGCTACACAGCAGCAAAGCAAATCTACGGCTCTGGGAGTAAGGATTTCCCAAAGACGGAGTTATACTCTCTGTTCCAGCAAGACGGTCACATGTAAGTGCCCCGCCGAGGGGTTGTTCTTGGGCACTTTTCGCACTCATGAATCTGACGTATACAGCAACCTGTTCACAGCCCTTGACTCGGACACTGTATGACAATCCCTTTGAGACATAAGCTATGTGCTCTATGGCTAACGTAACCGATTATAGCATAGCACTATACGGCGCCATCTCGCTGACCGGTACTCGAACTCGTCGGTACTCCGACCTCAGATCATCGAGATGATAGACGAGCGGGCAGAGGCCTTTGGGACGGTGTGTGCGGCATCAGATACGGCAGACATCTACGTGAGGTCCCCGAGGTCACCCGCATGAATAAGGATATTGACTTCGTGCGATTCATTCTTAGTTCTACTTGCATGCATACGCTCTCGATTGCGTGACTGGGATGCTGTTTCATCCTCATAGAACAGACTCACTTATCGACGCTAGTGACCAGCGGATGGTCAAGCTGCTATCTTATGCCAAAACTCGAGAAGGTAGATTCATCGAATGCGTTTTCGAGCCAAAAGAAAAGTCGCTGAGATACGTTCTAAACACTGACAAGTCACGTAGTAACAGTCCTGCACCACTATCTTCCTCTACTATCACCACTCTGGGAGGCCCTGTTCCCGAAGCTGGTCGATCTGGAACAAGGAAGCAACTTTTTGCGAAAGTTTGTGCAAGACTCATTGGAAACCGGAGATCACTCCGACTTCACCGTGGCACGAAAGCTTCTAGAATCGAGCCATGTAAGCAGGCCCCTGGCAGAAGCTGAATGCCTGGATCACATTGGTGCTGGGATCGAAACTACAGGTGACACCTTGTGCTGGCTCATTTGGGAGCTCTCTCAGCCCAAACACGAGGGGAAAGTCCAAAAACTTCACGACGAGCTAGTCGAAGCAGGGAATGAACGGCCTCTTCACGATCTGCCCTATCTCAGCGCTGTCGTTCAGGAGGGCTTGCGTTTATTTGCCCCAGGAACGATGTCGCTTCCACGTTACGCGTCAAAACAAGGCGCCTTCATTGATGGGTATTTCATCCCTAAGAATACGATCGTGGCGTGTAACTCATTTAGCATGCATCGCCTGGATGAGAGAACATTCCCGGACGCATGCCAATTCGTTCCTGAGAGATGGTTGGATTCGGAAGATAACACTGATCGACAACGTTTATTTTTTGCCTTTGGGCTTGGTCCACGGACTTGCATTGGGCGGCAGTAAGCTTGAACATTTCATTCACCTCGAGTTATATGTACTTGGTCAAGCGGTGAATCGCTAACGTAATGTGCGCTTTATAGTCTCGCTATGGCTGAGATGAGAGCTTGCTTGAATGCAGTCTACTCCAAGTATCGTACGAGACCCGCCCCGGACATGCGGTCGAGTATGGAAATGGACGATCAAGTTCTGACATCCCGTCCTCGAGATTTGTCTTGCAAAACACAGTTTGTACCTTGGGACCCAGAGGTGTGATTCACCAGAGCGCCTTCACAGGATGCAGGTGGCTACCGTATGTTACTTGGCAATCTGGCATGGGTAGGGTAAGGTAGCTTGGAATATGAGCCCCAATCTGTCGACAAACATCAACTTCCAGAGTTCTTCTCAGGTATGGAAGGGTGGCCGAGTTGGTTATGGCGCCAGGTTAAGGTCAGCTTAACATCTATTTCCTGGTGGGGCAACCCGCGCGAGTTCGAGTCTCGTCCCTTTCAAGATCATCTTTTTGCATGTCGTGGAGATATCGATACCCATTTTCCAATGATTTTTGGTGCGAATTTGACGAATTCGGTGAATTCCGCCGATGCGCCTTTTTTTGGGTACGTACATTGAGAATTGAGTTCCGTCTGCAGAAATTGTTAGTGCAACGGAACGGACCAGTAGATGGGGCAGAAACGGCTCAGAGTGGGGCCTTCGGATACGAGGGACCTGTGAGAACTCTGCACCGGTGGGGCCGTCACCGACAATATGCCGTGGACCAACCAGGGACGGTATTTCCTAGTGCACAGGCCACTTTCTCACCCGATTCATTCCCGATGGTGGGTCCGGGCCTGGATTGATGTTTGCCCCATTCCGGACGTCCTCCGACCGGTCTTCCCAGCTTGTTGTCGAATTGTCTCCACGCAGATGTTACACTCGCTGAAATTGTTGGAACGCGCCATCATTTCATGAAGATTACGCTGCTGCTGCCTTAGCCTCGGGGGGCAACGGGGGACCCAAGCGACCCAAGAACCTCAAAATACAGGGGCGATGGATGCTGCAGGCACGTGCGCACTGCGCTGGGCCGCCTAGTGCTCTAGTCCACTGTCAGCGGTGCAATGTACCGAGGTGAAACGCGGCATTTTGCACTGAATATTGGGACTGAAGAAGACATCAAGTCAAAGAGACCTGTCGGAGCGGCAGAGCAATTGTTGAGACTCGACAGTTGTTGCTGGTTACTGGTGGTCCTGTTCTTGGCCAACCGTTGCCGACCGTTGCAAATACGCAACTTTGTGGATTCGAGCTTCTTGGACGACATGGCCTTTTTCTCGTGCGGACTTGCTCTGCTCCGCAATGCCTTGTCTTGCATCGTATCCTATTGCTGCGCGTCCCCATTGCCTTCTCGTAATCGTTAACCAGACCGCATCAGATCCTGGATACTGTAGTCAACAGTTGGCCATGCGCGGCGCATTTGAGCGTCAGGTCTCTTGTCTCGTAAAATCACAGCTGTGCCGCTTGCTGCTCATCGCGATCGGCACAGAAATTGGACGTCGGATGCTTTTTCGCAGACACCGACCACGTGAGCGGTGAAAGCAGT